ACATTATCCAGCATTAACCGTATCTCCAGAACCAGTTATTATAGTATTTTCAAGAAACATGTGGCCGGCGTGGTGTGGCGGCGCACAAGTCTAATTGAATAGAAGCATTGTACCAAACGTTTGTATGACACTTTCTCGCCTAAATCATAGATAGATTTGATGTTTTGTGCTCGATAGGCCGGAAATGGGCGATTAGGCCGTAATAGTTTTTCTTTTCTTTATTAGAGTGACTTTCAGTCAGTGGCTGGTTCGTCACTAGGCCGCAGTAGATTTTTTCCCTACTACGTCCTCAACTGAAAATTTACGCGTGACTTTAACACGGGAAAAAATCCTATTCCATTTTCATGAATAAAAAATCATGAAATGAAACAAACTTGCCATCCCATGAAATCATAACAATGATTCATAATTTCGTGATGGAAATTCATGATTTCATAATGCAGTGGAATCATGACCGCTACAAGCGTTACCTGCCAAACCGTGTTCACCGCACTACATAGGTATACGCCTGGGTTTATCGATCGTAAGGTTTTTGGTTCGAATCCAGTATGATGCTTTATTTTATTTGTTTTACATATTTTGGATTAAAAGCTATTTAGTACATGATTTCAACTCGGATGATTCATGATTTCGGGAATCTTGGGTGCGTTACGCAAACATAGCTCATGATATCATGAATATTATTCATGGTGTATTTTCATAACATAAAAATAAGCTATGTTCATGAAATCATGAGTCATTTTTCTCATTTCGGAGATTGGATTTGTTCCCGTGAACTTATTGCTTCTCTTTTTGCATTCGTATATGGGTCATTCCATCTCTAGTGACTGAGCAATTGCATCGACCTTCTCCGATTTGAACCAAAATTGGTGGGCCTACCTATTTTAGGCCTGGATTTGGGGACTGACCACCCCCCTCCTTTTTGCCGATTTTACATATCTCTGGAACGAATGAAGATACAAACGATATTGGGTGCCCTTTTTGAATAATTTTGAACATACAATCAAATTTTGTGATCGTAATTAATCTTCAGTGTTGCCAACTCTTTGTTTTTTTATTTGAAAACTTTATACGCATAAAATCTCAACATACCCCCACTTTTTTAAATTTGTATGTGGCCAAAGATTTTTTACGTAAGAATCACTTGACGAAAAAAAAAAACAATGTGTTTCGTTTAGGAGATATTGAATTTCAAAGGTTACAAGTTTTTAAAGATTATTCATTGCACCAAAACGCTGCGATATAGAATGTTGGTATATTGTTGAAAGTCGCTCAAAAATATCAAACCTGTGAATATGCTGAAGACCTGACACTACTTACAAGTCGGACTCAATTATCTGGAGCCATTTTTTTTTGTAGTACCGTGACGCTGGTCCAAACTTGACGCAATGTTCTACTATGCCCTGCACTCAGGCAAATATTTCACAATAAAGCTCCCAATAATCAACCGCACAGTGTGCTAAAAACAAGGTTGGGCACACCTGGGCACAGTCATTGGCACTGTTTGGCACCCATGGTAACAATTGTTCTGATCTTTAAAGTTACTGGCAACACTGAATTTTTTCTGCGCCTGCGCAGTATACATGTGTCAAATTTGTTATTGATGTTGCCACAATATAATAAAAAAAAAGTATTTTCAAAACACAACCGTGAATCTCAACCAAGTCTCGCCATGAATTCTCACAATCGTTACACCCGTGACTGCAGTCGCGTTCACATTTCCTCCCAGACGAAGAACAGCTGACAGCAGTATCTTGACCTGATCGAGCTTTCCGGCCATGGCTACACGAACTAGCTATGCAGCTCGCACGGCTGCGGCTACTTCCAATGCTGCTGCTGCTGGTCTGTCTTTTCTGACGAAGTTTGGAGGAGACGGACCAGCAAAATGAACAGCAGCAGCAGTGTGGTTGCACTTCATGATGGCGTTCACCGCCAGGGCTACGCTCGAGAACTCGACCAATCCGGAGGAGGAACCTTCCGATTTCAGCGAGAACATTCGCACTTGCGACGGGTGGCAGTCCTTGGTGGTGAATGCAGTCATCAGCAGATCCTCGGACGGCATACGGGTGGGGTATTGAAGAAGTGGAGAATGCGATTTTTGCTGGCCTTGGTCAACGAAAGGAAGCGATTGTTCTTGAAGGCGCTGTAGTCCTTGAAGCTGATCGAATTGTCCAGCAGGGTGTAGTAGTTCTGCTTGGAAAATGCAATCTGAATTTTGTTACCATCATTTCCATTCGTTCAATTTTGTTCAAGGTGCTGGATGCTGCGTTCGACTGGTTCGACTGCGATGGCGAATCCCATCTGGACCATGGCGGTACCCTCTTTGGTCTTCAGGAACTTTATCCTGGCAACATTTCCGTACAGGCAGAACAGATTGAACAGCTTATCGGTGTTGGCTGTGTTGTTATCGAGTCCGTAGACCATCATCACTGCGCCCTGTTGCTGTGTCGGTTGAATGAAGTTGGCTGGTCCGTTTCGGGTCAGCGGTGCGTCCTTCATCAGTCCGACGTGTGTTCCAGCCGGTGAATTCGGCCGGTTTCCAGTTTTTCGACGGATGATACTCGGGCTGTGAAAAATTCGGTGCAAATCCGTTTCTTACACCGGCTCCAGGGAGGGCTGGTGGACTAATGATTGACGTTCGTTGTACGGGTTCGGCCTTCCGCCGAAGATGGCAGGATCGTGTAGCAACGGAGTTCGTCCGTTGCAAGCATCCTTAGAGACGGCTGCATCCAATGTGTAATTTTTGTAAACATTGAAAAACAAAACAAAAACAAAAGATGTTGAAATACCGCGTTGCCAAACAAGGCATTATTTTTCAAAGTGTTTTTTATGTTACTTCATACGCGAAGTTAACGATTTTCAGAGTTGGTTGGAAATGCTAACATGAAGCTTTAGTGTGATGATTTATTAGCTAGAGAATGATCTTTAGAAGAGGGTAGGTGGATAGTTCCGTTAGAGTACGGCAGTATGAAAATTGAATAGAAGTTGAAAATGAGCGAAGGGCCATTAATGCGTCAGTTTTTCAAGATAGACGCACATTTTTGCCTAACCCGTACGATTTCATACTGCCGTACTCTAACGGAACTATCCACCTACCCTCTTCTAAAGATCATTCTCTAGCTAATAAATCATCACACTAAAGCTTCATGTTAGCATTTCCAACCAACTCTGAAGGCATTATTCACAAGCAAACAAAAGTCAGTTCAATGACTTCTTGGTACTACCGGCACAGCTGCGGCACACTGAGAAAAATGTTCGCGCAAAATAAAGGCCCAAATGCAATGTGGGCGGAAGCAGAACGGAAACGGAAAGTTTGACAGTCGGTTTGATTCTAACTTGTTTTCAATCCGACAAGTAGGCTTACTCAGATCGAGATTTTCCGCTGCTGCTGCCGTTCCGCTTCGACTTTAACTGGAAGAACGTAAGCTTCAATGAGGTCTCGGTACTAGTAATGTAATTTTGTCATGGTTTTTCAAGATTAAATTAGATATACACTTAGATTATTTTACCGAAACTGTGAAATTTTCAACAGCTGAACGTTCGATAAACAGTTCGGTGATTTTTCGCAGATTTCCTGTAATTTTTCACCGAATATCTGTGAAAATTACAGGAAATCTGTGAAAAATCACTGAACTGTTTACCGAACGTTCAGCTGTTGAGATTTCGGTAAAATTTCATAGATTTCGGTGTAATAATCTTAGTGTGTATGATGTTTGCGTCAAATTGAGCTCATAGTGTTCCTAATTATTTTCAGTCCATCATATAGAATCCGAAAGGATGAAAAATCAACAGAAAATCGGTTAGCAACTGTATTTGCTGTGTGGGAACCGTTGTTTACCATGATCCAATTTCTAAAAGTTGTTATAGTTCTTCGGACAAACGGGTGAGCCTACCCCAATCACTGAAAGGTTGGTATGAACCTACATCGTTCATAGGTAGCAGCATAGGTAGCTCCATTTACTGAACATTGTTAGCAGCGAAGGGAGCATGTATAGATGAAGAATTTGAAGCAGGGGTGATATTTGGACCCACGGGTACGAATGTATCATTTGTTCCTCGCTGACCGTTGTTAACAGCAGAGGAATTTGTACCTGATCGGGAACATGGAGCGTTTCCTACCTGTCGCTTAGAACGGATTTTAGGATCGCTTTGCAAGTCTTACATTCCCAAAAATAGGATTTGTGGTTTTCATCACAATTTGAACATTTAAAGTTCTTAGGATCTTTTTTCCAAGGCCTTAAGGTTGTATAGTTCACTAGACTTGAAGTTGCACTAAATAAAAGTCATTGGAAATCCCGTTGCACAAATCGCCAGGACGGGATTGCATTTTCATTTTGATTACTTAGATAGACTCAACTCCAAGTAATTTTCTCAATTCATCTTTGATCTGATCCAGAGATTCACCACTGGGCAGACGTTTCAAGACAACCTTGAACAAACGTACAGTTTTGGTTTCGTAAGTGAAAAATGTGTGTTGCTTATCAGTAAGATACTTTGAGAAGACGTTTGAATTCGTCCAAAGTTTCAGCCAATACACACGACGGCATTCACGTTGGGCTCTTCTCAAGGAACTTTTGAACTTCGTTTGCATTCGCCGTCGGGGGTTAATTTAAAGTGAAAACATAATTTAAACGAAGTTCAAAAGCTCCTTGCGAAGAGCATGGAAATCGGAGGTGGTTATCACAATAGGGGAGACCTTTTCATTCTTAGCATCATCATTCTCATCATCCGTGAGCATATCAAATTGATTGCGCACATAAATTTCATCAGAAGGAGGATCAAGAGATTGCTCTTTTCTTTTGCGTTTAGGCGCCATGGTGGCAGAAGATAGTTTCTCCAAATCGACTGACTGACACGGTGATTTTTTGAACTCTTGGTGGGCTTATGCTAAGTTAGTATTTTAACAAACATTGATTACAAAAAAAAACCTTTAAATTGCCGCTTGCTAACACAGTATTTCAGTATACTAATCCACAATACACCATTTCTCATTCCACTAGGCGCCCGCACAGCTTGCACGTGGTATGGACGCGCCGTTCGCGCCGCGTCGTGTCCAGTCCGATGGCCTGGGAACCGGACCTAGTCAATCCCGTCTGCAGCACAATGGCCTGGCCAATGCCGGATAATCACACGATCGCAGTCACCCTGTTCAAAGACATCCGGACGCACGAACTGGAGGACAAAGACTGGACCTTCGTACTGGAGGATGTCTCCCAGATGGGCAAAAAGCGGTTGCTTGCGTCCGCAACCATCAACATGCGCAAATACGCCAGTATCGAGTCTACGCAGCAGACCTTCCTGCTGGAGCTGAGGCCCGCTTCCAAGAAGATCATGTCCGCACAGCTGGAAGTGACGCTCAGTTGCGTCTTCCTGCGGGAAGGCAAGGCAACCGACGAGGACATGCAGAGCATAATTTCGCTGATGTCGGTGAACAATGTGACGGATATTGCCCCGCTGGACGATCTGGAAGATATTCCAGATTTGGAGAACTCGATAGAGATTTCCGATCACGTGCTGGACTTCACACAACAGCTTGAGCAGCTGACTACTAGTTTAAACAGTTCCGATCTGGCGACGCCTATGAGTGGTAAGTATTGGTCTTTTGTTCGTGAATTAAGTAGAATTAATAGAATTTTGCCTTGCCTACAGTTCCATCCCTTTCGGACGACCAAACCCCGGTGGTCAGTGGTTCAAGGGATATGTTCAAAGAATATCTCAACGATCGTGGATACATTTCACTCACCAGCGAAGGAGGCAGTAGCAGAGAACCGGACGAACATGATTACAACAAACAGAAACCTCCCGAAGCGGATCAACCGCCAACGGAACTAGGGAGACGGAAGGCGCCCGAACCCATTCCGGAAACGATACAGTCAGCAAAAGAACGTCAAAAACTGGAAGACGAACAGCTTGATCCACTGGAAGCACTGGAAGAGGAAAAGAGTCCCCCGAAAGCGCATGCGCCGCTTCCACCCCTAGCCCCTAGCATAGATAGTGAAGTTACCAAAAAATCACCCGAAGAACTGCAAAGCAGTCGGGCGGAACTGAAACCACTGAATCTGATCAAGAGCTACGATCATCAACCGGAGCAGAAGAAACCCACTGTTGCTGCTGTTGTTGCTACTGTTGTCGCTCCACCTCCCGTTGTTGCGCCTCCAACGGTGAATGTTCCCGTTCCGGAACCGGTGGCTGAACTGAAGAAACCGATTCTCAGAGACAGCACCCCGGGCCAGGACCTGCTGGAGTGGTGCAAAGAAATTACCAAGAGCTACAATGGAGTAAAGGTTACCAATCTCACCACAAGTTGGCGCAATGGAATGGCCTTCTGTGCGATCATCCATAACTTTTATCCTAGTTTAATGTGAGTCTTTTCCGCAGTGTTTATCAAACCATTGCTCAAATTTCTGTTTTCGTTTTACAGTGATATGAGTAATTTGTCCCCCGGGAATGTGATAGAAAACTGCCGGACAGCGTTTGACGCAGCGGAGAAGCTGGGCATTCCTCGAGTCATCGAACCACGTGATATGAACATGCTAGCGGTGCCGGACAAGCTGGCCGTGATGACCTATCTGTATCAGCTGCGGGCGCACTTTACCGGCCATCAGCTGGAGGTGCACACGATAGGTGAGTGTTTGGCTTGTTTTCACTTGGACCTACTATGACAGGTGATGGGTCGTCGCATAAACCAGAAGGTGGTGGTATAACTTTTGTTTCGTTTTATGTTTTCATCGGTTAGATTCGGGCATTCCATGTCAGGCTTGCTACCTAGCGGCCGAACAAGCCATGTGCATTTATTCCCAAAAGAAAAAGTTACTACGCGGTAGGTTTCGGTGGTGAAATTTGCGAAAGCCACTAAGTACTAACTGTGAATGCGCTTGTGAGATAGGGCTTTGCTCTTTGCAATGAAATAGTTTGTTGGTGAAAACGGACTGTTACATTGTTGTGTAAAGAAGTAAATCCGAGACTCGTTTGATTGAGCAATTTTAACATCATAGGCTTCGCATGAATTTCATATGCTATATCTGATGCACTCAAATAACGTCGGCTGCAAGCTTATTCGTCAATCATCTTCGTTTGGTACTGTAATTGGTGTTGAAGATTGTAGGCGTAGGGATCTTGTCGCAATTATTTTAGCAGAAGTCTATCAATATTCCAGTAAATTGGGGTTAGATCATACACTTGGATGGTTCATTTGTCCTCTATTCTTGAAAGGGTACAGGCTGGAGTGATCGAGGAATAATTCTTCTTATTGTTAATCAAATTGTCGAGCAGTTTTGGGACGACCTTCTGCCAGCGATTTTGACCAGATGAAGCAATAAATTCCACATTTTTCAAGCTCAGAATAAACCATGTTCAGGCGTTAAACGGTCAATTTGAAATCAGCATTTGAATTCATGTATCTGGTAACTCTACACTGAAACAAAATCCATTGTTAAAAATACTATATTGCTGGTTTAAAATAAATACCCTCACCAATAGATTTGTGCAGAAAACAATTTCATTTAATTTTACTATTATATCTATCAAAATTAACATCCTTTTTTACCAAGCATAGTATTTTTGCCAGAATCATAGTAAATTTGTTAACATTCATACTTTACTATACTGAATTCATAGTAGATTTAACGGTAATAATGACATCCAACGATTTGGTCTTGTTAAGGTTGATGGTTAGACCTGCTTCAGAGGAGCGTTCCACACGGTCGTCGAGCTTACTCTGCATGTCAGAGCGCCGTTGTGCTAATAACGCAACATCATCAGCCAAATCGAAGTCGTTGAGATGCTCCATAGTAATAGGTTGCCACAGCGACCCACGGTTCGGTGCACGGTCAACGGCTCCAACCATGATCTCGTCGATTACGATGAGGAACAGTAGCGATGATAATATACATTCTTGCCTCACACCCGCGATTACCCGCATCGGATCAGACAAAGCTCCGTTGTGCAACACTCTGCATGAGAAAGCCTCGTACTGCGCTTCGATGAGGTTGACGATCTTATCAGGACTCCCATGCGTCTCAGAGCACCCCACAAGTTTTCGTGGTTTAGTCGGTCGAAAGCTTTTTCGTAGTCAATACCAATACAGGGACTCTTGGAACTCATTGACCTGCTCCAGGATGATGCGGAGCGTGACAATATGGTCCACACAGGATCTTCCAGCACGGAATCCTGCCTGCTGCCGTCGGAGAGTCGCGTCGATCTTCTCCTGTATCCGATTGAGGATAACTTTACACAGAACTTTGAGAACAATACACAGTAACATGATGCCTCGCCAGTTGTCGCAAATAGTTGGATCCCCCTTCTTGGGGACTTTTCCCAAGACGCCCTGCATCCAGTCGGCCGGAAAAGTCGCGGTGTCCCAGATATTGACGAATAGTTGATGCAACATTTGTGAGGATAGCATGGGGTCAGCTTTGAGCATCTCTGCTGATATGCGATCGACCCCCGGGGCTCTGTTATACTTCATACTTCGGATGGCTGCTTCTATCTCCTGCAATGATGGAGCTTCAGTGTTGACGCGAGTAACGCGTCTCATCCTTGGCGGATCATGCCGAGATGTTGATGGTTGGTTGACCGTTGAAACTTCGAGAAGTTGTTCAAAGTGCTCAAACTAACGTTTCAACTGGTCTGTGGGGTCGGTGAGCAACTGTCCAGTCGCGTCTATTAACAGGCATCCTTGGGTTCATCCTTGCCCCGCTCAGGCGTCGCGAAACATCATAGAGGAGGCGGATATCGCCAGTTGATGCGGCTTTCTCCCCTTCATCAGCCAGGGAGTCCACCCACGCTCGCTTGTCCCGTATACAGGAACGCTTAACTTCCCTCTCTAGAGCCGAAAACCGCTGATGGGCCTCGTTCTTGGCTCCTCGGGTCCTTGCTCGCTCTATCGTGGCTTTTGCTTCTCTCCGCTCCTCGATCTTCCTCCAGGTTTCATCGGTGATCCAATCCTTCCTCTGAGTGCGCAGCTCACCCAGGTTGTTCTCGCTTGTTTCAATAAAGGCATTCTTGATGCTCGTTCACTGTTCTTCTACGCTGCCACCTTCCGGAATATTAGCTGCGCGAGCCTCGAGTTCTTCGACGAACGATCTCTTCACTGCTGGGTCTTCCAGTCGGCATGTGTTGAATCGCCACCCGAGTCTCTCCTCTCGCCGTTGAACCCGCGCAATGCGTAGGCGTATCTCACCGACCAGGAGATGATGGTCAGACGCGATGTCAGCGCTGCGTTTATTCCGAACATCAAGAAGGCTCCGTCTCCGTTTTTGGCTGATGCAGATTTGGTTCTCTGTATATCAATCACGGGAGGCCCATGTGACTTTATGCACTGGGCGATGGGGGAAGAGCGAACCTCCGATCACCATGTCGTTGTTGCCACAAAACTCTGCAAGTAGCTCGCCGTTCTCGCTCATATCTCCGAGACCATGGCGTCCCATGCGATCATAGTCCGAGTTGTCGGAGCCGATCTTCGCATTGAAGTCGCCTGTGTAGATCTTGATATCACCTCTTGGAGTCTTATCCACGACAGCATTCAGTTGACTGTAAAAGTTCTCTTTGTCCTGCAATTCGGCAGCATCGGTTGGCGCATAACATTGGATTATGGTAAGGTTTCGGACCCGTGTTCTGAATCTGGCAACGATAATTCTCTCATTGATAGGTTCCCACTTGATGAGCGCAGCCTGTGCTTGGGTGCTAAGCAGAAAGCCAACTCCACGATGTCGCGGAGCGTTTTCACCTCGCATATCAGAATATAAAAGTATCTGTCCCGAAGGCAGCTTGTGTTCTCCAACGTTCGGCCAGCGGACTTCATTAAGTCCCAGGATTTCTAGCTTCATACGGCGGACCTCACTGGCGAGTTGTGTCAGTTTACCCTGGTGGGCTAGCGTCAGTACATTCCATGTTCCAATTCTTGTCCGTTGTTTAGCGCTAAAAGTCGTTGCCATAAAATCAGTTCGTAATCTTTCACTATAGGTTACTGTAACAATTTGAAGGTTTCGGAGACAGTAGGTGGCCTAAGGTCTCCTATCCGCCGTGATGGTACTGCCATCTTGGGTATAGCTTTCGGGGAGAAGCATTTCGTATTCAGCCGCTGGATGCCAGTCAGACGCTGTTTGAGCCGCCCCTAACATGGAGAACAGACGCTCGGGTTTTGTAAGCCACATCCTCCGAAAAGGATGCAGCGCCCCCTTCCCTGTCAGCATACGACCAAAGTTCCCACCGGGGTTGGTTACCCGATCTTCCCTAAGGTTACTCGTACCCCAGCCGGCGCCGCGGGGAGGAAGGGATAGGAGTTACTGGGCAAGAGGCTAAGGACCACTTTCACTTGCGTGACGGGTCTATTTTATAACCTACAAGTACGCGAAGTACCGGTGGTACGCATTACAGAAAGGAGAAAATCTGTTTCTGATCACAGAATAAAAATACATGTGTTGCTTTACGCCATCAATTCTACTCTGGCTCTCATGTTCTTTATTCAAGGGGTTCAACAATGTCAGGGATAACAATGTTATGAAGGGGTTCGTCGAAGTAAAATTACATTGATATTACAACATCTTCCCTTTTCTTAAACAAATAAACTGTTTATAAAAACAAACTACTTCAGAATCGAGTTCAGAACATAATCATTAAGGGGGTATTCCCGATCTTTTTTTTTCAAAAAATCAAATTTTTTTTTCACGTTTTTTTGTACTTTAGACTATATACTTTCATCCCCCCAAGCCGTTTTCCGTTCAGCGAATACGGTGTCCAGGCATAGCTGACTAATGGTAAGAACCCCCAAATGGTTTTAACTAAAGTCAAATCGGGCGAAGATTTTTCTCAGAAACTATAAGAGATATTGACTTGAATCTTTGCGCATTTTGTTCCTTATTAAATTCTTTGGAGCTTCTCCCACTTTCAGCCAAAAATATTAACATTTAACATTGTTTGAAGCACCTTAAAGCTGCAAAAAAGCGGGCTAAAAATCGCCTGTTTTTTCATATGGCCGCCATTTTGTTAATTTGCAAGATTTTTTGCTGCCAACGGGAGAAGCTCCAGAGAATCTTATGCAGATTATTAATTTCATCACGAAATCTGTTTCAGATGAAGCCGTTCCAGAGAAAAGTCTTCGCCCGTCCAGGCGTTTGCGGCGAACAGGGGTCTGTTTGCCGCCATTTTGTGACGTCAATAATGTCTTTTTTTATGTCGAAAAAAAATTATTTGTAAACTTTAATGTTCAATAAACAAGAATCCCAAAGAGTTAGGCGCATTACTATTCATTTTCCTTGAAAAAAAAAATTAATTGAAAAACAGGCCGAAAAAAGGCAAAAGATTGGGAATACCCCCTTAAACTTAGTAGGAATCTTAATTTCTCTCTTCGGTATGGTGCAGCATTCATGTGCAGTAGCGGGTTCTTTTAGTTTAGTGACAGATTGTGCTGAAAATTCTCGTCTTCGTACAGCATCCTCGATTGGTAAATTGGCATGTAGCATACTCTGAAAATGATTCTAAGATGGTCGTGTTCCTTGGTGAATCGCCAGCTGCTCCTGCGGATGAACATGAAGACAATGGTTGGTCTAATTTAGTTATTGGCTGGTCAGGTTTTCCGGAAGCACATAAACCAGTGGATACTGGACTAGATTCGATTGGTTTCCGCAGTTTTACGTGAACAGCGTCCCTTCTGTATAACGCTCCATTCGTTTCTACCAAATATGACCGCTCACTTAGTTTGTTTTTGATTTCAGCGGGGATCCATGATTTGGAAACGTCTGGGTTTATTTGAACATATACCGGATCACCCACTTCTAGAGAAGGCAGGATGCGCGTTGATTTATCGTACCGATACTTTAT